CTTTTATTTTAATTTCTGTATTTATCACTTTCTTCTTCTCCATACTCAACTTTACCTTCTTCCTTGTTTGAGTCTAATCTGTTCATGTACATACATACATCCATCTTATTCCTAAACTGCTGCTTAGCACGTTTCTGTAATTCACTATCAGTATTAAAGCATACATTTAGGGGGCATTTCCGCCCCAACCATGTACGTGTATGACATTAGTATTGGTGTCACTTTTGAATTGATTTTTTCGCTCTATTTTATACTAATTTGAAATTTGAAAAAATTGCCTGCACATCAGCATCAAAATACCTTTCTAATGGTATATAATTGTTTATATCTTAGAAGTATAGTTTAGCCGTAAAAGGGGTGTAAAGGAAACATGATAATGTAGAAACATATATTGATGTTCGCCCAGCGGTTGAAATTCAACCGCTAAAATTAAGAATAGTTTATGTGAGTTGAGTTGAGCTGAAATAAAATTTGTTGGAATGGGTTAAGTGGAGGGGAGTTTAGCTTAGTACTTAGCATAACATAACATAGAATAGCATTAGATTCAATAACATAACATATGTAACACATCACAATATAACATCGCACATTCTTCAGTTGTATTTCCTTTTTATCCCTATCACTTTCATCCTCTCTATCTTTGTCTCTATCGCTTTTAATGTTTATGTTTATGTTTATGTTTATCTACACCTTCATGTTCATGTTCATGTTCATGTTCAAGTTCAAGTTCAAGTTCACGTTCAAGTTCACGTTCAAGTTCACGTCCACGTTCATGTTCACGTTCATGTTCACGTTCATGTTCACGTTCATGTTCATGTTCATGTTCGTGTTCATGTTCATGTTCATGTTCATGTTCATGTTCATGTTCATGTGCATGTTCATGTGCATGTGCATGTTCATGTGCATGTTCATGTTCATGTTCCTGTTCATGTTCATGTTCATGTTCGTGTTCAAGTTCGTGTTCATGTTCGTGTTCATGTTCATGTTCATGTTCATGTTCATGTTCATGAGCATGTTTATGTGCATGTTCATGTGCATGTTCATGTTCATGTTCATGCTCATGTT